GTGTGTGTGTGTGTGTGTGTGTGTGTGTGTGTGTGTGTGTGTGTGTGTGTGTGTGTGTGTGTGTGATATTCAATGCACAAAAAACAAAACAAAAAACATGATTGTACCAGACTGTTTCGTCGAAGTTTCACTGACTCATCAAGAGGTTGAACCCCGACAGTCTGGCCTGGATGCAGTTGACCGATGGATAAGGACTCACCACATCGCCCAGAGTTAGCGATACCCCTGAGAGAGAAAAGTGGTCGATAAACCAATCAAACGCATGCACACACACACAGCAGGAAGGAGGAAACACACACACACACACACACACACACACACACACACACACACACACCTGTCTCTTATACACATCTAGATGTGTATAACAGAGCTGTACATTACACTCCCGTTGCCGCGTCTCCTGCAGTTCACACGATTGCCACGTGGCGACTGACAAACGGCGGCCAGCTTTTTTTTTTTTTTTTTTTTTTTGAACGGTCAGTTATCATTCAGAGGAGTAACGCCGAACGTACAGTAATAAGCCCAACGTTCTTTTGAACGGTCAGTTATCATTCATGATCTGCATCTGCACCATGCATCTGCATCCGCATGGTCATCTGCATGGTCATCTGCACCATGCATCTGCACCATGCATCTGCACCTGCATGGTCATCTGCATGGTCATCTGCACCATGCATCTGCATATGCATGGTCATCTGCACCATGCATCTGCATGCGCATGGTGCAGATGACCAGCCTATGGACGGGTGGAGAACGTTGTCGTATCTCGACTGAAACAACCCCAGCCCGTCTGCATCTGGCCGGCTTTATCGTGCAGATACAGGCTCAATGCATAGTTTGCATCTACATGGCGCGGACCGCCCCATGTACACACACGTGCGGCAAACACCAAAGCGTAGGCCTTATGTTGGATGATATCCTTTTTCTCTTTTTCTCTTTTTCTCTTTTTCTCTTTTTTCTACCGTTGTACTTTTTTCCTTGGTGACGGTTTATCTTTTCCTTTCATTTTGGAGAAGTATATCAATCTGATTCCATCGAGATTCAAACTGATGATCTGTTTGGAGAACAATCACATATGTGTGACACGAGTCAGAACCACAGCAGCCACGTGGGCTTTGGTGGTCTTCCAAACAGTTTCTTTGCGTCAAATCGCTCAATTTAAGTGACATGCGTCAGAAACAAAACGGTTCTTTGCGTCTTTTTTTTCCCCCTGTCAATTTCGCCCAACACCACCATAACGGTCTCTGGAAGCCAAAACACCCCACTGCCTCTGCGAGACCCAGTGAACGACCATTACGCATACTCAAAGTGACGTGCACGTGCGAGCGGGTCTACACACAAACCCACACACACACACACACACACACACACACACACACACACACACACAGCACGTGCGAGCGGGCTACACACAGAGAGAGAGAGAGAGAGAGAGAGAGAGAGAGAGAGAGAGAGAGAGAGAGAGAGAGAGAGAGAGATCTGAGGTTCCAGAAAGAGCGCTCTCGCGCATACACAGAGAGAGACAGAAAGAGAGACTCGAGGTTCAAGGAAGCGCGCACGCGCGGAAGTCCTGTGATTAATGACTAGGAGGAAGAGGAGGAATATGATGACACCCGCGCGCGCGCGCGCGCGCGGGAAAGTCATGTGATGAATGATTAGGAGGAGAAGGAAGGTGATGACGAGGAGGAGGAGGAAGCTGATGAGACGCGGGCGCGCGCGCGCGAAAATCATGTGATTAATGATTAGGAGGAGGAGGAAGACGAGAATGANGATGACGAGGAGGAGGAGGAAGCTGATGAGACGCGGGCGCGCGCGCGCGAAAATCATGTGATTAATGATTAGGAGGAGGAGGAAGACGAGAATGATTGATTAGGAGGAGGAAGGAAGATGATGAAGAGGACGACGAAGATGGTGATGAGGAGGAGGAGAAGAAGGAGGAGGAGAAGAAGGAGGAGGAAGGAAGATGATGAAGAGGACGACGAAGATGGTGATGAGGAGGAGGAGAAGGAGGAGGAGGAGAAGGAGGAGGAGGAGAAGAAGGAGGAGGAGAAGAAGGAGGAGGAGGAGGAGGAGAAGAAAGGAGGTGGTTTAAGGATAGAAACGAGAACGCTACCGCTCCGTTTTCTTTCCTGCTGCTGATGCAGCAGCTCCCTTCTTTATCGTTCTCTCTTTTTTTCTTTTTTCTTTTTTCTTTTTCCTTCTCATCCTCCTCCTCCGAGAAGCCGCAACCTTTCCCCCCCAACACAAAAGAAAAAAAATCCCAAAAAAAAAAAAAAAAGTCGCAGCTTTTTATGAAGTGTCCGCAGGTGGGGAGGAAGGGTCGAGATGGATAAGCAAGAGGCCTAAACAGATCGGGATCGCGATCGCGACACCTACGATGATCATCACAAGGAGAAAGTAGCGATGGAAGAAGTTGGGCTT